ACTATTGTGAGTGGTAGTCCATGACATTTGCTGCTATGTGCTTTCCGCTATCCCATAACTCTTGAGGGCAGCTTCTTTCCCAAACACCTTCTTTTGCAACAAAACCCAACTTTCATCTACACCTAAAAGAGGCGGCCAATGAACGGGCGTTTTAAAAAGGGGTATATAAATATTATGAACCCGTCTCTTATACCCAGTAGTATACATAATCTGACTCCCCTTTTTGGCATCTCGGAAAGATCTTATCCAATAGTCCCAGAAACCGCTATCGAATATACCGGGGAGATCGATGACAACAAAAATATCTCTGCCCCTTCAAGAATTTGTAAAGCACTCCAGGCAGTTTTTCATGACTTATTCTACTAATTTGGTCAGTAATCAGGAGAGCAGAACTTGAAAAGCTAAAATCCCTCTGGCGATCCGCTTTAGGAACATCGATCCATGCTCGAACATTGAAATGAGATGCAATGCAAGGATCATTGTACACTTTTCTGGCTAGAGTTGTCTTACCCCTTCCTTGCATACCGACAATTACACTAGCTGAGACGTGCTTTCGTCGCCCCATGTTCCACTTCCTCATCCACGCCTTTGGTTCTTCTCTTCCTCGAATAAGGTCATTCACAATCTTCACCGTCATTTCATCAAATCCCACCACCGTTTCTTCGTCGGGATCTGATGTCGATGAACTTCCAAATTGCAACGTCACCACAGTTTCATCCTCAACTACTATCGTATCAGCTCTTGGGGGACATTTGATATCAGGCAATTTGAGACAAATTTCCTGCACCCCTGTTGAGATAGCCGTAAGATCTTGTATGAAACTTTTGAGCTTTTCTTCAGTGTCATCCTCCTCGTGCAAAAATGATTTGAGGACATTGGCTACTTTCTCGTTCGCATCATCGATTTTTGTGGCCAGAATTTTCCCTGCATTCTGATGGTAGTTTTTCTCAACCATTTTGATGACGAAGGTCCTCAGGAGTTTTAGATCCTTGTAAAGAACTTGGATACAAACCTCCTGGTGCTGAAAAAAAGCTTCATACCGAACAATTAGAAGGCCCAAATTCCGCAATAGATTATCGAAAGCAGTTTCGGCCATTTCTGTCTGATTTCTTTGCTGATTCCAATGATTAACGGAGTTAAAAATGAGATGCGTGTATTTGGACTTGAGACCCTTGAATTGAAAAAGTATGTTTCTGCTCAAACAAAAAAAAAAAGGAATTGATATCGTATGTTAAGTCCACAAAAAAAAAAAGAAAGAGATAACGTATATTATGAAAAGTAATATAAAAATAAGAGGAATTTGAGTATAGTAATTGGACTTTTTATTAGCTCAATGTTTTAGGTAATTGATCGTTGAATTATGAGCAGCATTTTTTCTTCGTAATTTTAATGCTGACTTGACAAATACACCTGGTCATGAAAGTGTTTTTTTTATATATCCATATAATAAAATAAAATATAATTTAAATTTTAAAAGATAAATAAAATAATTTTTATTTTTTGCTATTGAAATGTCTTTAAATTTTCCTTCAAAATTAATCCGACGGCTAATATTAACACTCTAAATTTAATAAAGAAAATATGTATCTAAAGTGTGTTTGAGATAATTTTTTAAAAAGTACTTTTAAAACTTATAACGTTTCATAAATACTTAAAAAAAAAAAAGTATTGTTTAGAATTGCCCCACCACCATTACCATCCCACCACCATCACTATTACCACTACCACCATAATTGCCAGCACCCCACAACCACTTCTACCACAACAATAGTCATCATCACCGTCACTGCCACCTCACCATTACAACTACCACCGTTGTTGCCATCTCACCACCCCCACCGCTCCGCCATCACCCCCTACGATCACCGTTTCTGCTACACTACAACCATCATCGCAACTGCCCTTTCCCCCACCGCTCCACCACCACCTTCGATGCCGTTACCTTACCACCGTCGCCATTATCCTACTAACCCCATCCCCACTATCCCACCCCCCACGACCATAACCACTACCACCATCACCGTTACCACCCACCATTGTTGCCACCCCACTACAACTGTTACCCCCACCCTTATCCCCATCGCCACTACCCAACTATCACTTTCACTGCCCCTACCACTGATTGCTACCACCGCTGTTTACTGCCACCACCTATCACCATTGTCATCTCATTCTTGTATTTATTATTACTACCACCTATCACCATTGTCATGTCATTTTTATATTTATTATTACTACTACCATTATCTCATTACCATGTTGCCCACTTTCAGCACCCACCAACATCCATCGTCGCCCACCATCGCTGCCAGCCACTATCACCTACCACCACCACTGTCGTCGCCCCGCCACCACCACCATCGTCGTCATCCCACCACCGCCACTGACAACCACCATCACCATCGCTTACCATTACCCACACCTGCCACCATCACCATGGTCACTCATGGCTATTACTACCACCATCATCACCCAAAATTCACCACCATCACCGTTGCCACCCACAACTGTCATTACTACCACGGTCATCGCAACCCACCACATCCATCACCAGGGGTGCAACTCGGGCAGATTGGACAATTAACCTTAACTCAACCCTAAGTATATAATTTTTAACTCTAACCCTAATCCTACCTCAGGTTGAGGAACTCAACTCGAGCACTGCCTGAGCTTAATTTGGGCGGGCTCGAGTTGAATTCGAGTTAATGATTTCTGGTTGATTTTGGATTACTTTATGGGTTTAATTCGGGTTGAGTTCGTATAGAACTCAAAATAGATTTGTTGTTCTAATCCTAATACATATATTACATAATATTCACATAAATTAACAATCAATAAGTTCAACCAAGTTTTTAACATAAGTACAAATTTATAAAACATAATCCATATATTTCATTCATAATAATGCACGATTATTGATCATCTGCTTTCACACAAAAAATAAAAAATCAATGCTAATGCTTTATATATGTAATTTTTTTAATTTATCGAGTTCGGGTTGAACTCATGAACCTGAAGTCTTAACCCGAGCCCAATCCAAATTGAATTCGGGTTAGAATTTTTTGACCTAAGCCCAACCCAAATATTAAAAACCCATGTCCAAGCATTAATTTTTTCGAGTTGGGCTCGGGTTGTCCAACCCAAGTTGCACCCCTCCTATCTATCACCGTCTCACACCACCACCACCATTATCGCCCATCACCTCTCACACCTACTACATTCGATGCTTAAATTCTGTTCTCTTTCCTCAATGTTTAATGATTTGATTTTGGGTGTAAATAATAATATATTTATTATTGATTAGTTTTTTATTACTCTATGTCTTTAGGCACAGAAAATAACTAATCTATATAATAAAGTATAATCAATTCAAATCTCAAAAAATAAACAAAATAATTTTTACTATTCACGGTTGAGATCTTTTTCAATTTTACTTTATAGTTAGTCCGATGACTAATATTAGTACTCTAAATTTAATAGGAAAAACAAGTCCCTAAGATGTGTTTAAGACTATCAATAATCCCATAATTACTATGTTTAACCATTCTTGATTGCCATCCACTGCATGCCTCCCTGCTCCGGCACAACCATGGCCATCCAAATTCGTCTCTGCTCTGGTTTCTCTAATCCCATAATGGCTAGATATGGGGTGACACAACGCGAAAAATCTGCATCCTCCCTTCTCACAACTGAAGTAAAGTTTCCCTTTTGATGGCTTCTCTGACTAAACAATTCGAAGAGTTGCTTTTTTTCCACAGTTGCAAGGTATACAAGCAAACCTTGCATCAAAGTTGTGATCTCCTCCTCCAATTCTACTTGTGCTGGAAGATGCCATCTCCTCTATCAGCTAATGAATACATAAGTAAATTTCATTAGGATTCATAAAAAACAGTAATCTAATTCAAGAACCCTGATTTAAAACCCTAATTCAATAACCCTTATTTAAAACCTAATTCAATAAAAAAATCACCAAAATCCCCAATTAAAGAAAAATAATTTCAAAATTCAAAAAAATTCGCCCAGAAGTGCTAAAGAGAATGGATTAGAACAACTTGTTGTAAACCAATGGCGAGAGGGGAGAGAGAGAGAGAGAGAGACCCTTGGAACCAGTTACCCATTACCTGCAGCAGAATGCTTGTGAATTGAGACTGAGATTAGTCGACTGAGGAGTGAAATGAGGAGTAAAATGAGGATTGAATTTTTCCCAATGAATAAGAGAAGATGACTCTCAGTACTCAGTCAACATAGAGGGTAAATATGATATATCACTATAAAATATGCCATGACATCACATTTTCTGTTATATGTCAGTAACTCTATTGGTTGCAGGGGTATTATGTGAAACTTGATATAATCTGCAAGGGTGTGTAGTGATATTTCAAAAATTATGGGGGATGTCCCTAGAATTAGGCTAATCTAGATGGGGTGTCACTGAAATTTATCCTATTAAAATTTATGGTGGATGACTAACCGTTAAAAAAACTAAGTCGACTTATTTATTTATTTTTTGTCTGTAAACACATCTTCATTTCATTAATATCAGCTGGAGTGTGATCAAACAAAATATTGTGACATTTTGTTATTAGGGCAAGTTGTCTTTGAGTGTAAGATCCAACCATTTGATTGCAAAATTAAAAAGTAAAGAAGTATAAAATTGCGGTGAACATCATCGATCTTAGTCTAATTTATGTAACCGTATAGCAAATTGTGTTGTAAAAAAAAAAAAATCTTTTGGGGTCGTCATTCCGTTGAAAACTTGGTTGTATTCACTACACTACAACACTGAAAATTGCTTCAAATCATGTACGAGAACAACTTCCTAAAAACAATATTTGCCCCCACTAGTTCTTATAAAGGTTTACAATAGGAATTCTATAAATCTGTTATTAAGATACAATAAAACTTCTCAAATCTGCCAAGTGTATTGCACTTGCGAAGAGAGTACTTAAATACCTTAAGGAAATCAATTAGCCAACTTCTATTATTCTAACTTTGCAGAAAATTGAATACTAGATACAATATACAATAATAGATATATGTGTATTTGGGAGAATGAAGAAAAGAAGAATAAGAGAACAATTCTAGTAGTAAATATAGAATTGTTCAATAGTATATTTTGGGAGTACAACACATCATCTATTTATAAACTCACTAATGACTTTTCATAAAAAAGTGCAACCATATGTAATGACGTCTTTTAGTTCAAAAGATATCAATGATGATTTTATGAAAAAATACAATCACTTGAAATACTGTCTATTAGTACAAGAGATATCAAATGTGATTTTATGAAAAATTGTAACTATTTGTAATGGTGTCTTTTAATTAAAAAGTGTTAATGATGACTTTATAAAAAAATGTAATCATTTAGATTGATGTCTTTAGCCAAAAGTCACTAACTTTGAATTAGTAGTCTTTCGTGTCATCTTTGTTTCATACATTTCCAATTTCTCCCAAAAGTCACAAAGAATTTTTCAAAAATAACCACCCAAAAAAAACTTTTATTTTGAAAATATTTTAACAAATTGATTCATATTCGCTTGTTCTTCATCTCCCCAAGTTTGTAAGGCTTGCTTTTACGTGAGTAAACCCTGTTGATACATGAAGGTGGATGTAATAATCGTGTTATTATTGTTATTATTGGTAGTGTTGATGACAAATAACTTTAGAGCTCTTTTATATTACATAGATGAATCAGCTCTAATAAGCCTTAGAAGCTCTGCTCTTTTTCTTTTTGTGAGTTCAAATTCCTTTCTGAGCCCTGTTAATTTGATTTATTGCAGAGGTAATAACACTGGATCAAATTATTACTAATATTATTGGATGAGACAATCATTTTTTACTTGGACCTAACAATGATCATGCCCAAGTCCAAAAGCATACTATGAGCTTCAAATTTCTTTCAAGAATAGAAGATTTGCAAGTTTATATGCTTTTAGAATATTAGACTGTTGTTAGTTATTAGGAACAGATTTGATTTTGGTAGCAAGTAGTTTAGTCATTAGTGTCCCATATACTGACAGATATGTTGATCCCATGCATTTCATTGATAAAGCTTTTCTTGCCCTGCTTGTTGATCTCAGTTCAAGCAACTTA